GCAGCGGCCAATGGATTGCCTGATTTGCTCAGCCGGAAGAAAGTGGAGTGTGATGGGGCGGCTAGGTCAATCACAGTGCTTGATATTCGAACTCTTGTTTCGGATACATAGCACATATCAGTGTCAAGCAATCCCAGTGTTAAGATAAGAGGAGCTTGTTGTTTCGTCTGCTTCAGAGTACGAACATTTCATCGCCCAAGTAGACCAGGCATCGAAACTTGAAAACTGACTTAGAGACACCGGAGGCTGTCATCCTACGATTAGAAAGTTATTAATGGTGTGACGGATGGGCAAGATAAAGTATGTGAAAGAGAATGCGGGGAGGCCTCAGCAATAGCCTGTTTCCGCTTACTCGCTCTGCCGTATGTAGCGAGCAAGGCAACCCGACTGATAACACCATGTGACGGTCGATGTGGCAAGAGAGTACTTTTTAATTGTAAGAATCATCGTTGTACATGGGTTGGGTTACGCCTAGAGTATCAAGAGGACGATTAGGGTCCTCGACCAAAGTCTTTGGCTGGAAAGCCTGATCGCAAGACAGGTGTTTGGCGGTAAATGCGAGTGGTAAATGTATTACCATTTTCGAAGAACAGTCGTCATGCGTGTTCCGACCACTAATCTGGACGACCAGGAGATCGCACCGGTCAATCCTCTAACCACTGACCAACCTTGTATGGGGGCTCTGTGAGTGTTGTAGGGACCAGTATAGCCCGATGGGTCGTGGAGTTCGCTCAAACCGTCCCGCCACATCAAGTTACGGATATGACTATTCAGTGTGCGTCTTCTATAGCTAAGGTTCCCCAGCCGTTGTTTGTCGTCATCAACATCATCATCATCGACAGCATGACACCAGCGTTGAACACCGACGTTTCACTGCCGTAGAGCCATGACTTATTTGAAAGCCTTATTGTAGAGAAAAGAATAAAGGTGGATGGGGGAGGGACCTAGTTCTAGCTTACCACAATCATTCCGAGGTACCTACACCTCCAGACATTCACTCAGGCAATCTGGATAGAAACTGACTACAAGAACGCCACTGACATCGGTTGGCAGCCATATCTTGTAGTATCTCCAACCAGGAACAGTGAGGATCACGCGGTCCCTACCCTGGAAGGCGAGTAGCACCGACAGCACCCAAGCGTTTCGCGATCTCCCTCATACTCCTCTGCCAGGTTATGGGTTGGCCACCTCTCTGTTTACGCCACTCTGAGTTGGGCATGGAAAACAGCACTGTCTTCGGCAAATGATGGTTCGGCATACGTAACACATGTCCCGACCAACGCAGCTTCTGGTGCTGGACACATTCTTCAATGGAAGTACCCGTTACACAACCGAAAACGCGCTTTCTAACTGCCTCGTTACGGATTCGCTGACACCAACTCACATGATCTATGGTTCT